TTATTATTCTTGGTTCTTTCGGTAAAGTCACCACCACGTAGAAGGGAAACAATGAAATAATAAAAATATAAAACAATAAAAATTTTGTAAAACAATAAAATTATTATTCTTGGATCTCTCGGTAAAGTCACCACCACGTAGAAGGGAAACAATAAAATAATAAAAATATAAAACAATAAAATTATTGTAAAACAATAAAATTATTATTCTTGGTTCTTTCGGTAAAGTCACCACCGCCGCGCAGATAGGGAACCAATAAAATAATAAAAATATTAAGCAATTAAATTATCACGACATTTCGAATGCAGCACAAGCAATCAACACAAGCAATCATCATCAGGTGTGAAAACCATAACAAGAAAATTTGTGGTTTTCACACCTGATGATGATTGCTTGCGCTGCAGACGAAACGTCGTGAGAATTTTATTGTTTTATATATATAAAACGTGAAGAACCAGCGGCATCTACATCTGCAGAACGTGAAGAACCAGTGGCATCTACATCTACAGAACGTGAAGAACCAGTGGCATCTACATCTACAGAACGTGAGAACCAGTGGCATCTACATCTACAGAACGTGAAGAACCAGTGGCATCTACATCTACAGAACGTGAAGAACCAGTGGCATCTACATCTACAAAACGTGAAGAACCAGTGGCATCTACATCTACAGAACGTGAGAACCAGTGGCATCTACATCTACAGAACGTGAAGAACCAGTGGCATCTACATCTACAGAACGTGAAGAACCAGTGGCATCTACATCTACAGAACGTGAAGAACCAGTGGCATCTACATCTACAGAACGTGAAGAACCAGTGGCATCTACATCTACAGAACGTGAAGAACCAGTGGCATCTACATCTACAGAACGTGAAGAACCAGTGGCATCTACATCTACAGAACGTGAAGAACCAGTGGCATCTACATCTACAGAACGTGAAGAACCAGTAGCACCTACATCTACAGAACGTGAAGAACCAGCGGCATCTACATCTACAAAACGTGAAGAACCAGTGGCATCTACATCTACAGAACGTGAAGAACCAGTGGCAACTACATATGTAGAACGTGAAGAACCAGTGGCAATCTACATCTACAGAACGTGAAGAACCAGTGGCAACTACATATGTAGAACGTGAAGAACCAGCGGCATCTACATCTGCAGAACGTGAAGAACCAGTGGCATCTACATCTACAGAACGTGAAGAACCAGTGGCATCTACATCTGTAGAACATGAAGAACCAGTGACATCTACATCTACAGAACGTGAAGAACCAACGGCATCTACATCTGCAGAACGTGAAGAACCAGTGGAATCTACATCTGATGAACGTGAAGAATCAGTGGCATCTACATCTACAGAACGTGAAGAACCAACGGCATCTACATCTACAGAACGTGAAGAACCAGTGGCATCTACATCTGCTGAACGTGAAGAACCAGCGGCATCTACATCAGCAGAACGTGAAGAACCAGCGGCATCTACATCTGCAGAACGTGAAGAACCAGTGGCATCTACATCTGCAGAACGTGAAGAACCAGCGGCATCTACATCTACATAATAAAAATATAAAACAAAAAAATTATTGTAAAACAATAGAATTATTATTCTTGGTTCTTTTGGTAAAGTCACCACCCAGCGTAGATAGGGGAAACAATAAAATAATAAAAATATAAAACAAGTAAAATTATTGTAAAACAATACAATTATTATTCTTGGTTCTTTCGGTAAAGTCACCACCACGTAGATAGGGAAACAATAAATAATAAAAAATATAAAACAATAAAATTATTGTTAAACAATAAAATTATTATTCTTGGTTCTTTCGGTAAAGTCACCACCACGTAGAAGGGAAACAATAAAATTATAAAAATATAAAACAATAAAATTATTGTAAAACAATACAATTATTATTCTTGGTTCTTTGGGTAAAGTCACCACCACGTAGATAGGGAAACAATAAAATAATAAAAATATAAAACAATAAATTATTATTCTTGGTTCTTTCGGTAAAGTCACCACCACGTAGAAGGGAAACAATAAAATTATAAAAAATATAAAACAATAAAATTATTGTAAAACAATAAAATTATTATTCTTGGTTCTCTCGGTAAAGTCACCACCACGTAGAAGGGAAACAATAAAATAATAAAAATATAAAACAATAAAATTATTGTAAAACAATAAAATTATTATTCTTGGTTCTTTCGGTAAAGTCACCACCACGTACATAGGGAAACAATAAATAATAAAAATATAAACAATACAATTATTGTAAAACAATAAAATTATTATTCTTGGTTCTTTCGATAAAGTCACCACCACGTAGATAGGGGAAACAATAAAATAATAAAAAATATAAAACATAAAATTATTGTCAAACAATACAATTATTAATCTTGGTTCTTTCGGTAAAGTCACCACCGCGTAGAAGGGAAACAATAAAATATAAAAATATAAAACAATAAAATTATCACGACGTTTCGACTGCAACACAAGCAATCAACACAAAGCAATCATCAACAGGTGTGAAAACCATAACAAGAAAATTTGTGGTTTTCACACCTGATGATGATTGCTTGTGCTGCAGTCGAAACGTCGTGAGAATTTTATTGCATCTACATCTACAGAACGTGAAGAACCAGTGGCATCTACATCTCCAGAGCGTGAAGAACCAGCGGCATCTACATCTACGAACGGGAAGAACCATGTGGCATCTACATCTGTAGAACGTGAAGAACCAGTGGCATCTACATCTACAGAACGTGAAGAACCAGTGGCATCTACATCTACAGAACAGTGAAGAACCAGTGGCATCTGCAGCATACAGAACGTGAAGAACCATTTGCATCTACATCTGCAGAACGTGAAGAACCAGTGGCATCTGCATCATACAAGAACGTGAAGAACCAGTGACATCTACATCTGCAGAACGTGAAGAACCAGCGGCATCTACATCTACAGAACGTGAAGAACCAGTGACATCTACATCTGCAGAACGTGAAGAACCAGCGGCATCTATCTACAGAACGTGAAGAACCAGTGACATCTACATCTAGCAGAACGTGAAGAACCAGTGGCATCTACATCTGCTAGAACGTGAAGAACCAGTGGCATCTACATCTACAGAACGTGGAAGAACCAGTGGCATCTACATCATACAGAACGTGAAGAACCAGCGGCATCTACATCTACAGAACGTGAAGAACCAGTGGCATCTACATCTGCAGAACGTGAAGAACCAGTGGCATCTACATCTACAGAACGTGAAGAACCAGTGGCATCTACATCTGCAGAACGTGAAGAACCAGTGGCATCTACATCTGCAGAACGTGAAGAACCAGTGACATCTACATCTGCAGAACGTGAAGAACAAGTGGCATCTACATCTGCAGAACGTGAATGAACCAGTGGCATCTACATCTGCAGAACGTGAAGAACCAGTGACATCTACATCTGCAGAACGTGAAGAACAAGTGGCATCTACATCTGCAGAACGTGAAGAACCAGTGGCATCTACATCTACAAAACGTGAAGAACCAGTGGCATCTACAGAACGTGAAGAACCAGTGACATCTACATCTGCAGAACGTGAAGAACCAGTGGCATCTACATCTGCAGAACGTGAAGAACCAGTGGCAACTACATCTGTAGAACGTGAAGAACCAGCGGCATCTACATCTGCAGAACGTGAAGAACCAGTGGAATCTACATCTGCAGAACGTGAAGAACCAGCGGCATCTACATCTGCAGAACGTGAAGAACCAGTGGCATCTACATCTGCAGAACATAAAAAACCAGTGGCATCTACATCTACAGAACGTGAAGAACCAGTGACATCTACATCTGTAGAACGTGAGGAACCAGTGGCATCTACATCTACAGAACGTGAAGAACCAGTGGCATCTACATCTGCAGAACGTGAAGAACCAGTGGCATCTACATCTACAGAACGTGAAGAACCAGTGGCATCTACATCTGCAGAACGTGAAGAACCAGTGGCATCTACATCTGCAGAACGTGAAGAACCAGTGACATCTACATCCACAGAACGTGAAGAACCAGTGGCATCTACAGAACGTGAAGAACCAGTGGCATCTACATCTACAGAACGTGAAGAACCAGTGGCATCTACATCTGCAGACCGTGAAGAACCAGTGACATCTACATCTACAGGACGTGAAGAACCAGCGGCATCTACATCTGCAGAACGTGAAGAACCAGTGGCATCTACATCTACAGAACGTGAAGAACCAGTGGCATCTACATCTACAGGACGTGAAGAACCAGTGGCATCTACATCTGTAGAACGTGAAGAACCAGTGGCATCTACAGAACGTGAAGAACCAGTGGCATCTACAGAACGTGAAGAACCAGTGGCATCTACAGGACGTGAAGAACCAGTGGCATCTACATCTACAGAACGTGAAGAACCAGTGGCATCTACATCTACAGAACGTGAAGAACCAGTGGCATCTACATCTGTAGAACGTGAAGAACCAGTGGCATCTACATCTACAGAACGTGAAGAACCAGTGGCATCTACAGGACGTGAAGAACCAGCAGTAATCTACATCTGCAGAACGTGAAGAACCAGTGGCATCTACATCTACAGAACGTGAAGAACCAGTGGCATCTACATCTACAGGACGTGAAGAACCAGTGGCATCTACATCTGTAGAACGTGAAGAACCAGTGGCATCTACAGAACGTGAAGAACCAGTGGCATCTACAGAACGTGAAGAACCAGTGGCATCTACATCTACAGGACGTGAAGAACCAGTGGCATCTACAGAACGTGAAGAACCAGTGGCATCTGCAATTGCTTTAAAAGTTGTCGAAGAGATTGGACGACTTTTAAAGCTATTGGCCCGTGGCTTCACGTGCTCGGGGCACAGCGCGTTTGTAAAATCGGGCTTCTGACGATTCCCAACGCGTTGCACGTGAAGTTTGACTTGGTTCGTGAGTAAAGTTTGGAATCACGAACTAATCGACTTACGAACACACCGCGTTCGTAAGTGGAGGAGTCCTACTCTCCCCCTCCCGTATTTTTGTTTTGCGACACTTTGCCACACATGCTGCCGTAAAGCAGATTTCCCTGGCGTGGCGACACGAGGCGAAGAGGTGAGGGTTGTGGTGGTGGTGGTGATGGTGGTGGTGGTGAGGGTTGTGGTGGTGGTGAGGGTGGTGGGTGGTGTGGGGGTGATGGTTGTGTGTGGTGAGGGTTGTGTGGTGGGGTGGTGGTGAGGGTTGTGGTGGTGAGTGGTGGTGAGGGTGTTGGTGTGAGGGTTGTGGTGGTGGTGAGGGTTGTGGTGGTGGTGAGGGTTGTGGTGGTGGTGAGGGTTGTGGTGGTGGTGGTGGTGAGGGTTGTGGTGGTGGTGAGGGTTGTGGTGGTGGTGGTGAGGGTTGTGGTGGTGGTGTGGGTTGTGGTGGTGGTGAGGGTTGTGGTGGTGGTGAGGGTTGTGGTGGTGAGGGTTGTGGTGGTGGTGGTGAGGGTGTGTGGTGGTGGTGGTGAGGGTGTGTGGTGGTGGTGGTGAGGGTGTGTGGTGGTGGTGGTGAGGGTGTGTGGTGGTGGTGGTGGTGAGGGGTTGTGTGGTGGTGAGGGTGGTGGTGGTGGTGGTGGAGGGGTGTGTGGTGGTGTGAGGGGTTGTGGTGGTGGTGGTGAAGGTGTGTGGTGGTGGTGGTGAAGGTGTGTGGTGGTGGTGGTGAGGGTGTGTGGTGGTGGTGAGGGTGTGTGGTGGTGGTGAGGGTGTGGTGGTGGTGAGGGTGTGTGGTGGTGGTGGTGGGGTTGTGGTGGTGGTGCGGGTTGTGGTGGTGGTGGTGAGGGTTGTGGTGGTGGTGGTGGTGAGGGTTGTGGTGGTGGTGGTGGTGAGGGTTGTGGTGGTGGTGAGGGTTGTGGTGGTGAGTGGTGGTGGTGAGTGGTGGTGGTGAGTGGTGGTGGTGAGTGGTGGTGGTGATCAGTGGTGGTGGTGAGGGTTGTGGTGAGTGGTGGTGAGGGTTGTAGTGAGTGGTGGTGAGTTGTGGTGGTGAGGGTTGTGGTGAGTGGTGGTGGTGTAGTCTACACCAGCACTGGGGGAGACAAAGGCAGCCTGGTGATGCTGGTGGTGGTGGGCCAGGCCACACCACACATCCGCTGTGCCTGCCACAGCGCCGGTAGCCTTCATAGGCGCTGCTGCTGCTACTAACAGCACTTGCCCATACAGCATGCTGGAGGCTACACGGGGAACCTTTATCTGTGTACTTGTGTGGGGGGACAAAGGCGGTCGGGTGGTGGTGTGTGTCTATGTGTGTGTCTGTCTGTGTGTGTGTCTATGTGACTGTGTGTGTCTATGTGTGTGTGTCTATGTGTGTGTGTGTGTCTGTCTGTCTGTGTGTGTGTCTATGTGGGTGTGTGTGTCTATGTGTCTGTGTGTGTCTATGTGTGTGTGTCTATGTGTGTGTGTGTCTATGTGTGTGTGTATGTGTGTGTGTGTCTATGTGTGTGTGTGTCTGTGTGTGTGTCTATGTGTGTGTCTATGTGTATCTATGTGTGTGTGTCTATGTGTGTGTGTCTATGTGTGTGTATCTGTGTGTGTGTGTCTGTGTGTGTGTCTATGTGTGTGTGTCTATGTGTGTGTGTGTCTATGTGTGTGTGTGTCTGTGTGTGTGTCTGTGTGTGTGTGTGTATCACTGTGTGTGTATCACTGTGTGTGTGTGTGTGTATCACTGTGTGTGTGTGTGTGTATCACTGTGTGTGTGTGTGTATCACTGTGTGTATCACTGTGTGTGTGTATCACTGTGTGTATCACTGTGTGTGTATCACTGTGTTTGTATCACTGTGTGTGTCACTGTGTCTGTGTGTATCACTGTGTGTATCACTGTGTGTGTATCACTGTGTGTGTATCACTGTGTGTGTATCACTGTGTGTGTCACTGTGTGTATCACTGTGTGTGTCTGTATGTGTGTGTGTCACTGTGTGTATCACTGTTGTGTATCACTGTGTGTATCACTGTGTGTATCACTGTGTGTGTCACTGTGTGTGTATCACTGTGTGTGTCACTGTGTGTGTATCACTGTGTGTGTCTGTGTGTATCACTGTGTGTGTATCACTGTGTGTATCACTGTGTGTGTATCACTGTGTGTGTGTCTGTGTGTGTCACTGTGTGTATCACTGTGTGTGTATATCACTGTGTGGTGTAATCACTGTGTGTGGTGTTCACTGTGTGTATCACTGTGTGTGTGTATCACTGTGTGTATCACTGTGTGTGTATCACTGTGTGTATCACTGTGTGTGTATCACTGTGCGTGTGTCACTGTGTGTGATCACTATGTGTGTGTGTATCACTGTGTTATCACTGTGTAGTGTAGCACTGTGTGTCACTGTGTGTGTGTATCACTGTGTGTATCACGTGTGTGTGTGTATCACTGTGTGTGTTGTATCACTGTGTGTATCACTGTGTGTGTGTCACTGTGTTGTATATCACTGTGTATCACTGTGTCTGTGTGTGTATCACTGTGTGTGTGTGTCTATGTGTCTGGTGTGTGTGTGTGTATCACTGTGTGTATGTGTCTCTGTGTGTATCACTGTGTCTGTGTGTGTGTGTATCACTGTGTGTGTCACTGTGTGTGTGTATCACTGTGTGTGTCTGTGTGTGTGTGTGTGTATCACTGTGTGTGTATCACACTGTGTGTGTGTGTGTATCACTGTGTATCACTGTGTCTGTGTGTGTGTGTGTCTGTATCACTGTGTGTATCACTGTGTGTGTCACTGTGTGTGTGTATCACTGTGTGTGTATCACTGTGTGTGTGTGTGTATCACTGTGTGTATCACACTGTGTATCATTATGTATCACTGTGTGTGTGTGTGTATCACTGTGTGTGTATCACTGTGTGTGTGTGTGTGTAGTCACTGTGTGTATCAAACTGTGTATCACTATGTATCACTGTGTGTGTGTGTGTATCACTGTGTGTGTATCACTGTGTGTGTCTGTGTGGTATCACTGTGTGTATCACACTGTGTATCACTATGTATCACTGTGTGTGTGTTGTGTATCACATGTGTGTGTATCACTGTGTGTGTGTGTGTGTCACTGTGTGTATCACTGTGTGTGTGTATCACTGTGTGTGTGTATCACTGTGTGTGTATCACTGTGTGTGTGTATCACTGTGTGTGTCACTGTGTGTATCACTGTGTGTGTGTCACTGTGTGTGTGTGTCACTGTGTGTGTGTGTCACTGTGTGTGTCTGTGTGTGTCACTGTGTGTGTGTGTATCACACACTGTGTGTGTGTGTATCACACACTGTGTGTGTGTATCACTGTGTGTGTATCACACACTGTGTGTGTGTATCACACACTGTGTGTGTGTATCACTGTGTGTATCACACACTGTGTGTGTGTATCACTGTGTGTATCACTGTGTGTGTATCACACTGTGTGTGTGTGTATCACTGTGTGTGTATCACACACTGTGTATGTGTGTATCACTGTGTGTATCACTGTGTGTGTCTGTGTGTGTGTGTGTATCACTGTGTGTGTCTGTGTGTGTGTGTGTGTATCACTGTGTGTGTATCACTGTGTGTGTGTGTGTGTATCACTGTGTGTATCACTGTGTGTGTGTGTCACTGTGTGTGTCACTGTGTGTATCACTGTGTGTGTATCACTGTGTGTGTCTGTGTGTGTCACTGTGTGTGTGTGTATCACACACTGTGTGTGTGTATCACTGTGTGTGTATCACTGTGTCTGTGTGTGTGTGTGGAAGATGTTTCACAGCGAGCCCGACTTCTGTGCCCGCTGTGGCTCTGCGCTGCCGCTCCCCGTCTCCAGTGCCAGTCTCGCCTGCCGGACGTGTCGCTCGCCCGTCAACGCCAGCGGTACAAACTACTCACACACACTGCTATATACACTATATATACACACTATACTATATATATACACTATACTATATATACACACACACTACTATATACACACTACTATATTATACTACACTATACTATATATACACACACACTGCTATATACACACTATACTATATATATACACTATACTATATATACACACTATACTATATATATACACTATACTATATATATACACTATACTATATATATACACTATACTATATATACACACTATACTATATATATACACTATACTATATATACACACACACTACTCACACACACTACTATATATATACACTATACTATATATACACACACACTACTCACACACACTACTATATATACACACTATACTATATACTATACTATATACACACACTACTCACACACACACTGCTATACACACTATACTATATATACACACACACTACTCACACACACTACGATATATACCACACTATACTATACACTATACTATATATACACACACACTACTCACACACACTACTATATATACACACTATACTATATACTATACTATATACACACACTACTCACACACACTGCTATATATACACACTATACTATATACTATACTATATACACACACTACTCACACACACTGCTATATATACTATACTATATATATACACAAACTACTCACACACACTGCTATACACACTATACTATATATACACACACACACTACTCACACACACTGCTATACACACTATACTATATATATACACACACTACTCACACACACTACTATATACACTATACTATATACTATACTATATACACACACACTACTCACACACACTGCTATACACACTATACTATATATACACACACACTACTCACACACACTGCTATATATACACACTATACTATATATATACACTATACTATATATACACACTATACTATATACTATACTATATACACACACACTACTCACACACACTGCTATACACACTATACTATATATACACACACACTACTCACACACACTGCTATACACACTATACTATATATACACACACACTACTCACACACACTGCTATACACACTATACTATATACTATACTATATACACACACTACTCACACACACTGCTATGTATACACTATACTATATACTATACTATATATACACACACTACTCACACACACTGCTATGTATACACTATACTATATACTATACTATATATACACACACACTACTATATACACTATACTATATACTATTCATATATACACACACTACTCACACACACTGCTATGTATATACTATACACTATTCATATATACACACAAACTACTCACACACACACTGCTATATATATACACTATACTATATACTATACTATACACACAAACTACTCACACACACACTACTATATATACACACTATACACTATTCATATATACACACACACTACTCACACACACTGCTATATACACACTATACTATATATACACACAAACTACTCACACACACACTGCTATATATACTACACTATATACTATTCATATATACACACACTGCTATACACACTATACTATATACTATTCATAGTATACACACACTACTCACACACACTGCTATATATATACTATATATATACACTATACTATATATACACACTATACTATATATACACACACTACTCACACACACTGCTATATATATACTAATATATTATTCATATACACACACACTACTCACACACACTGCTATATATACACACTATACTATACACTATTCATATATACACACACTACTATATACTATTCATATATACACACACTACTCACACACACTACTATAGTATAGCACACTATACTATATACTATTCATATATACATCCACACTACTCACACACACTGCTATATACACTATACTAATATACTATTCATATATATACACACAGCACTACTCACACACACTGCTATATATACACTATACACTATTCATATATATACACACTATACTCATATATATACTATTAATATACACCACTACTCACACACACTGCTATATATATACTATACACTATTCATATTATACACCACCACTATACTCATATATATACTATTCATATATACACACACACTACTCAACACACTGCTATATATACTATACTATATACTATTCATATATATACACACTATACTCATATATATACTATTCATATATACACACACTACTCACACACACTACTATATATACTATATACTATTCATATATATACACTATACTCATATATATACTATACTCTATTCATATATATACACACACTACTCACAACAACACTGCTATATATACACTATACTCATATATATACTATTCATATATACACACTATACTCATATATATACTATTCATATACACACACACTACTCACACACACTGCTATACACACTATACTATATATATACACTATACTATATATACACTACTCACACACACTACTATATATACACACTATACTATATATATACACTATACTATATATACACACTATACTATATATACACACTATACTATATACTATACTATATACACACACACTACTCACACACACTGCTATATATACACACTATACTATATACTATACTATATACACACACTACTCACACACACTGCTATATATACTATACTATATATACACAAACTACTCACACACACTGCTATACACACTATACTATATATATACACACACTACTCACACACACTGCTATACACACTATACTATATATACACACACACTACTCACACACACTACTATACACACTATACTATATACTATACTATATACACACACACTACTCACACACACTGCTATATACACTATACTATATATACACACACACTACGCACACACACTGCTATATATATACACTATACTATATACTATACTCACACTACTCACAACACACTACTAGTATATACACACTATACTATATACTATATATACACACACTACTCACACACACTGCTATACACACTATACTATATATACACACACACTACTCACACACACTGCTATACACACTATACTATATATACACACACACTACTCACACACACTGCTATACACACTATACTATATACTATACTATATACACACACTACTCACACACACTGCTATGTATACACTATACTATATACTATACTATATATACACACACACTACTCACACACACTGCTATGTATACACTATACTATATACTATACTATATATACACACACACTACTATATACACTATACTATATACTATTCATATATACACACACTACTCACACACACTGCTATGTATATACTATACACTATTCATATATACACACAAACTACTCACACACACACTGCTATATATATACACTATACTATATATACACACACACTACTCACACACACTACTATATATACACACTATACTATATACTATTCATATATATACACTATACTATATATACACACACACTACTCACACACACTGCTATACACACTATACTATATATACACACACACTGCTCACACACACTGCTATATATACTACACTATATACTATTCATATATACACACACTGCTATACACACTATACTATATACTATTCATATATACACACACTACTCACACACACTGCTATGTATATACTATACACTATTCATATATACACACTATACTCATATATATACTATTCATATATATACACACACTACTCACACACACTGCTATATATATACTATATATTATTCATATATACACACACTACTCACACACACTGCTATATATATACACTATACTATACACTATTCATATATACACACACTACTATATACTATTCATATACACACACACTACTCACACACACTACTATATATACACACTATACTATATACTATTCATATATACACACAAACTACTCACACACACTGCTATATACACACTATACTATATACTATACTCATATATATACACACACACTACTCACACACACTGCTATATATACATACTATACTATACACTACTTCTATATACACACTATACTCATATATATACTATTCATATACACACACACTACTCACACACACTGCTATATATATACTATACACTATTCATATATACACACACACTATACTCATATATATACTATTCATATATACACACACACTACTCACACACACACTGCTATATATACTATACTATACACTATTCATATATATACACACTATACTCATATATATACTATACTCATATATATACACACACACTACTCACACACACTGCTATATATACATACTATACTATACACTATTCATATATATACACACTATACTCATATATATACTATTCATATATATACACACACTACTCACACACACTGCTATATATACACTATACTCATATATATACTATTCATATATACACACTATACTCATATATATACTATTCATATACACACACACTACTCACACACACTACTATATATACACTATACTATATACTATACTCATATATACACTACTCACACACACATATATACACACTATACTATACACTATACTCATATATATATATTATTCATATATACACACACTACTCACACACACTACTATATACACACACTATACTATATATTATTCATATATACACACACACTACTCACACACACTACTATATATACACTATACTATACTCATATATATACACACACTGCTATATATATACACTATACTATATACTATTCATATATACACACACACTACTATATATACACACTATACTATATACTATTCATATATACACACACTACTCACACACACTGCTATATATACACACTATACTATATACTATACTCATATATACACTACTCACACACACTACTATATATACACACTATACTATACTCATATATATACACACACTACTATATATACACACACTACTCACACACACT